ACCGGGGATCGAACTCACGACCACCTGCTTGCAAGGCAGGTGCTTATGCCGCTGAGCTAAATCCCCAGCCCCCAGAGATCCCATTCTTTTGGATGTCTTTTTGCTTTCATAGAAGTTCTTGATACTGTTTTCCTCCTTCAATATTGGATATTTAATTCAGGGCCTAGCACATTCTAATCAAGTGCTATATCACTGAACCATATCCCTGGCCCTTTTAAATTTAGGATCTTGCTAAATTGGCCAAGCTGGCCTCAAACTTGGGACCCTCCTGCATCAGTCTCCTGAGTAGCCGGGATTACAGAGATGCACTATTGTACCTGGCTAAAATTTTTTGACTTGAATGGAGCTTTCTTTCTTTTTCTTTCTTTCTTTCTTTCTTTCTTTCTTTCTTTCTTTCTTTCTTTCTTTCTTTTTTTCTTTCTTTCTTTCTTTCTGCTGTTGTGTGTGCTTTTGATATAATAATTATGAAATTTTTGCCAAATCCCATGACATAAAACTTAACTCTTAAGATGTGTATATTTTATCCATTTTGAATTAATTTTTGTGGTACTGGAAATGGAGCCAAAGATATTTGCTCTGAACAACATTTCAAGCCCTTTTTAATTTTTAAACAAAAATATTTTAAAGCATGCTCAGGGGCTAAGTGGCCCAGCCTGGGCTCGAATTTGTGTTCTTCCCGCTTCAGCTTCCCAGAGTGCTGGGATTGTAGGTGTGTACCATCATACCTTGCTTGAGTTAATTTTCATTACGTGACCTACAAATCCAGTTTCATTATTTTTTATAGAAATATTAATACTTCCTGCAGTATTTTGAGTACCCTTTCTCCATTAATCCTGGGACATTTGTTGAAAAATTGGGTGTTCTTGGATGAATGAGGGCTTATTTGTGGGTTTTCTGTTCTGTGGCATTAGTCTTTGTGTCTGTCCTGTTTCAGAAACCACACTGATTTGGTTACCTTAATCTTACAATAAGATTTGAAATTAGGAGTTCTCTAACAGTTTTCTTTTTCTTCTAGATATTTTTGGCTGTCTTACATACCTTTGAATTCCATATGAATTTGAGTATAATTTTTTCCATTTTGGACAAAAAAATACCACTGGGATATTGTTAGACATTGAATTGAATCAAACTGAATCTATATAATCTCCTACCCCTTTACCTTGTTCTTTGCCATCTCCAGAAATCTACCTATTTCCTACCGTCTCTCCTTTTACTTTTTAATTCATTTATATTTTGGGTTTGTCATATAAGAAACCATATGGTATTTATCCTTCTGTGTCTAACTTATTTCACTTAAACATATGGTCTCAAGATCCATCCATTTTCCTAGAAATGACTAGAGAATTTGTCCTTTGTGACTAAGTAATACCCCTGCCACATTCTGCCACATTTTCTTTATCCATTCATCTGTTGATAGGCATGTAGGCTGTTTCTGTCTGTAATGTAGCTATTGTGAATTTTGCTGCCAAAAATATGAGTATGCATGTATCACTGTAGTCTGTTTGTAACATTTTTTGGAGATGCTTAGGTGGGTTAGGTGGGTTTTAGATGGGATTTCTCTTTTTTTAGATTTTGAGGAATCTCCATTCTGATTTAGTATCTTAATAGAGTTGTCCAGTCACAAACACAAGGTGTTTTTTAATTTTTATTTTTTGTCTTCTTGAATTTTTTTCCACTAGTGTTTGTAGTTTTTTTTTGTATATATCTTTCATCTCTGTGACCATAAATCCATGCTATGTCAACTTGAGTGACTTAGGAAAAGCCTACCTGATAAGTAAAGTACACTTCTGGGTATATCTGGATAGGTTTTGGAGGTGTGAAGTTGGGTATTCTCATGTTCCTTGATGCCTTCCTGTCTGGTGCTAGTCTGTTCTGCTGAACTGAGCAGATTTGCTCTGTGTACCCTTCTGCCATGATGTTTCTGGCTTAAAACTTGCCAACCATGGACTGAATCCCCAGAAATTGTGAGCCAAATTAAACCCGTCCTCCTTTAAGCAGCAGGTGTTAGGTACTGTGTTCCAGCAATGGGAAAACTAACCCAATCTCGACTTGATTAGGGTTTTTCATTTGTTTGTTTTTTGAGACAGGGTCTTGCTATATAATTCATGCTATCCTTAAATTTGCTTATGTAGCCCAGACTGACATTGAACTCATAACAATCTTCCTGCCTCAGCCTCCTGAGTGCTAGGATTACAAGTGTGCACCACCATGTCTGGCTCCTTGTTTAATTTATTCTTAAGGATTTTATCCTTTTTTTTTTGTACTGGGGATTGAACTCACAACCTCACACTTGCCAGGCAGGTGCTTATGCCGCCGAGCTAAATCTCCGGCCTCAGAATTTTATCCTTTTGACATGATTGTAAGTGGAGTTGTTCTTCAGTTTCCTTTCTGGATCAATTTATTTCTTTTCTGTAGAATATAACTAATTTGTTTATCAGTGCCTAATAAGTTATTTTGCTTATTAACTCTTAAGAATTTTTGTGAATTTTTAAGTTTTCTGCATATAAGATCATGTCTTTTGATGAAGTTTTACTGCTTACAGTTTGAATGTCTTTCTTTTTATTGGCTAATTAGTCTGACTGAAGCTTCAAGTATTTTGAATAAAAGTGGCAAGAGTAGACATCCTTATTCTTTCTTTCTTTGGCAGAATCTCACTGTATAGTTCAGCAAACTCACAAGGAGCCCAACTTTTTTTTTTTTTTCTGGTCTTTTTGAGACAAGAGTTCACCTTGGAGTTCAGGCTGGACTTAAACTCATGTTGTAGCCCAAGCTAGCCTTGATCTCCCAGCTATCTTCCTTTCTCAGCCTCCCAAGTGCTGGGATTATAGGCATTTGCCACCAAACTTGACTTCACCATATATTTTGATTACCTCTTTTATGTTTATAATTGTTATATCTTATTGATGATTGGAACTACCAATAGACAATGCTCCTTTGTTTCTTGGACTCTCTTGGACATTAAAACTGTTTTGCCAGATAATAGTGTAGCCACCAAAGTTCTCTGTAGGCTCCCATTTACATAGAATCTTTTTCTATCCTTTTTACTTTAAACCTTTTTTTATATCTATGCATCTTAATTGAATTCCTTATACATGGATACTAATTATGGTTTTATTTTGTTTTGTTTAATCCATCTGCCAGTTTTTGCCTTATAGATGGATTTTGATCTATTTACATTAAAAATAATTACTAACTACAGATAAAAAAGGACTTCTCTCTTACATGTTTTTTGTTCTTCAGTTCTTCCATATTGCCTTTTTATTTTACTTTTTTATTTATATATTTATTTTAAAGCGCATAAACAGCAATAAAATGAAATGAAACAGTGATAAGACAGTAGGAAATCTACAATAGTTACTATATTGTATATTGTTGTCCTCTAGTTGCTCAGACTTTGGCTTTAGACTGGCTCACAGGCAGGGGCTTAGCTGCCTTCCTAGCTCTCTCTGGTCTGTGCTCTGGCTGGCTCACAGGTGGGGCATTGCTTTCATCCTGGTTCTCCCCATTTTGTGCATTGGCTTGCTTTCTTCCTCCCTTAGTGCTTTTTAAATTGGCTTAAGAATTGCAAAATTTGTAGCTAGATAATTGGATATGGTCATTTCAGCCAGCGTTGAGTATTATGTGATATGAGTGCAGTGACAGGAACCATCACATGTTTCTAGCTGCCTTCATCTGCTAATCCTCATAGGTGCAGTCCTACTGGGCTGTGATTGATCTTTGAACATATCCCATTATTTTTTATATATTGCATGTGAAGCCTTTTGTGTGTAGAACTGCATGTTCTTCTGCTACCCTAATTCTTTAAAGATGTAGTTCAGATGTCATCTTCTCAGTGAAGCATCTATAAAGCAGTTAGCCTCTACCATGACATGAAAGAAACCAAACATTATTAAAACCAACAGCTTATGCCACCCGTGTATTCTGAGTCTGGAAGGGCAGACTTTTCATGTTTCACAAATCTCTTTATAATCAGATGGCATTTTCTGTGTAATGAATTCTCAATAATCAGTTGAAATTAATAAATGCTATATAGTTGGGGAATTATCCCACCAGCATCAGAATTTCTAGAATTACAGACATACAAGATAACACTCATTCTAGACCTTTAAGCATATTTATTGTCTAAGAAATAAGCTTAAATTGAGCACAATTTAGCCCTTTTTGAAGATTTTAGGGAAATCATGATTTAATCTCCTCAGAACTCATTGAAATGTATAGAATTAGCCTTGTGTGGTGGTGCATACCTGTAATCTCAATACTATTGGAGGTTCAGCCAAAAGGATTAGAAATTCAAGCTTAGCCTGGGTAATTCAACGATTCAGTGAAAGTCTTGTTTAAAAAAATTGTTTTTTTCACTGTAGAAGGTCTAGGGATGGGTTTAATCCCGAGTACTGGAAAAGAGAAACAAAACTTATAGAAAGCAAAGGAAAAAAACAAAACAAAATAAAAAAAATAGAGCTATTTAGTCTCCGGACCTTTTAAAAAAAGTTAAGTCTTGTTTTGTGGAGTTTCTAATCTTATTCTTCCTACTGTACCTGACTTTGGAAGCTATTCTCTTCTATTTTCATGTTTTGCTTTAATCAGATGAATCTGTGGAAAACTGAGCATCATGTGCTTTTGAAATGAAAGTAAGAATAAACAGCCACTGTAGAGGTTTTATGGGACTAAGACATTTCACTTTGGTTCACAGACTCTACCTTTCTCTATGCACTCAGTCATTTGGTACTTTTAAGAGTCAGCATTACAATAGGTACAAAGACCGAACTTGATCTTTGTTGGCAGCGTGTTTAGTATCAGTATTTCTTGGTCATTCACATTCTTTTTTTATAGTTCTTAGCCACTTATTTTATAGTTTGAATGATGTATTTTGTGTATCAGTAGTAGAGTCACAGCCGTCCTAAGTGGATCTTATTAAGGATAACTAGAATTAACATTTGCTGTAAGACCAAGTTTACAAAAAACAACAAAGATCATGATGTGTTTCCTTTTCTCTCTTGCAGGAAATACAGATGAATAGAACTGCAATTGAGGCTTTTAATGAAACAATTAAAATATTTGAGGAACAATGTCACACACAAGAACAACACAGCAAAGAATATATTGAGCGATTTCGCAAAGAAGGGAATGAAAAGGAGATTGAACGGTAAGTCTACTTAATTCCTCTAAGTACATTAATGAGACCAGACTCCCCAATAGTTCCTATCTTGTTTGCTTTTATCCTCTCAAACTGCAAAGGCCTTCTATGTAGAACTATTTGTTATTTACTACTTGTTATTTGTAGTGACATCAAACTGGACCCCCTCTCTTTTTTGTTCCTTCTCCATTTCCCCAAATTATTAACTCCTGCTTATCCTTTTTTTTTGGTGCTGGGGATTGAACTCAGGACTTCATGATTGCCAAGTAGGCACTTATGCCACTGAACTTAAACTCCCCGGCTCGTCTCATTCTTATCCTTTAGAACTCAGGTCAGACCTGACTTTTTCTAGAAAATGTTATCTTATTCCTCACACCAGTTTAGGAGCTTTGGGTTTGTATGTCTGCAGCATTTGGTCGGAGCCCTAGTTTACTAAATTTTATGCCCACTCATTGAGATTAGGCTCAATGGTTTATTTTCCCTGATAGAGCCTTAATATTTAAATGCTGCTTGGTACATGATGAGTATTCAGTAGATATGCTTTGAATTGCAAAGCAACTTTGACACCTAAGAGTAAACTGGAGTGCATTAAGAGTACAAGCAGGAAAATAAGCCTGACTGTTTCAGGTAATAGCAGGTTAAAATATGGCGAGGGCCTGGACTAACATTGCAGAAAAGGAATTAATAGAAATACTGAGGCTTTGATGCCTGAAGATTGATGGTAGGTATGGGAGAGGTCAAAGATTATTCATAAATTTCTGGTATGTGTGACTGGGAGGGAGATGGTGTTAGTTACTAAAATAGGAAGTATGTGAAGAGAGTTCAGCATTAGAACCAATGAGTTTAAAGTTCATTTGACAGCTTAAATGGAGCTGTCTGACAGGCAGATAGCTGGTTATTTGGATTTGGAGCTCAGGGAACAAAAGGATTTGGGAACCATAAGTGTAGAGACTGTCATAGGTGCTAAGCACGAGAGAACAGAGAAAGAATTAACATGAGAATTTGTTGTATTTGGTGATTAAAATGGTATTGGAGACTTCTGGGAAGATGGTGCAGTGGTAAGCAGCAGAGAGAACCTCCCTCAGAGTTTATGTCCAGACACTGGAATATAGCAACCCAACGAAGATAAGGAGGGAAGTGGGTTCCCTGAACCAAGAATGATCTGAAGTGAGAGTTGAAGCCCACAGAGAGAGCGAAGAGAGAAACTTCAACAAAGGAGGAGGAGGAGGTGGGGGGTGGCACCTTCTGAGTTGGGACTGGAGCTTCTGTGGAGAGATGCAGCCATGGAAGGGAATGATGGACGTGAAGGACTGCATTAACTGGGTGGTACCATCAGCAGTAACAATAGCATCACACATAGCCTGAAAAATGACAAAAATAAGACTCTAGAACAGAAATCCAGAAAAAAATAGGAATAGCTATTCTATTTGCAGACAAAGCAAATTTCAAGCCAAGACTGATTGAGAGACAAAGGAGGTCACTACATCCTTATGAAGGGAAGAATTCAAGAGGAAGAAATAACAATTTATTGTATATTTGCAACAAATACCAGTGTATGCAACTATATAAAAATAGTATTGGAAACCTTTATCAAAATAAAACATTCATTAAAATAAAAGCATTTATCAAAATAAAGGTAGAATATAGGGAGAACAAATTATATAATAATGAGTGAAAAGATGTGGAAAAATGAGTAATAAAAATAAATCATGCAATAGTAAAGGAAAGTCACTTCAAATATTACTACAACAATTGTTAGTGGACATAGAATTACATGCTGGGAGTTTGTGTTGGCTTCATAGTTAAAACCATGGGTTTGAATTTGATGCAGACATTCCTCATTTAATGAACAAGCTACATTCCTGTTTCTAGGTTATTATATGAGGAATTATATGTAGTATATATAGTATAGTATTTAGGACAAAGAAGTGATCAAAGGAAACTACAAATTCATGATTTTGCATTTATTTATATAACCCTTAAATGTAGTATTGTAACATATAACCAAACATAAAACTACAGTACTGTCCTGTATAGTATAATCAACAGAAATTACAGAACCGTATAAACAAGGCTCTCTGTACAAAGAAGACATTTAAGCTCTATTAAGATGTACAGAACTGTGCGCACACACAGAAAAATAGGCCATAAGTCTGAACAATGCATCTTAGTCATAAGTTTGAACAGTTGTTAAACAGGTAAGTTGTTTAATAGGAAATATCTGTATTGACTGTTTATTGTCTTTGTAACTTTGGTGGATTACTAAACTCTCCAAGTCTGTTTTCTCCTCCTTAAATGGTGGATAGTGTTTTACTGGGATACATGAGAAGGGAGGCACATATTACTGAGTGACAAATGAGCAATGTGTACAATTATGACCGTAAGGATTAAGCATAGCAAAACTTTGTGTGCTAGGAAAACTTACAACCATCATTTAGTGAATACTTACCAAGATATGCCAGGTGATTTCTAGTCCTTTTACATGTATTATAATTTAGCCTAATATAAAGAAAAAAGAAAAAGAAAATAAGACAAAACAAAAAAGGGTAGAAATAATACAGAATTTAAAAAATATTAACACTTAGAAATCACAAGTTGATAAATTACATATTATCCTCTTAGAGATAGTTGCTCAAATTATAAAAACAAAGCATTAAAAGTAGATAGACACTCAAACACTGACAATGCAAACCATTCTGTTCAGTGATTGAATAAAAACTTAGTAATATGGTCATCTATCTTACACTTAAACATATACATAAATGTTTATTTATACATATGTGTATATAAACATATACAGTTATATCCTTTAGAGCATTTTTCTTCCCTTTCATTTTTACAATATCTATTATACATTTTGGATCTTATTACTCCTTCAGCTTTTATTATTTTTTTTTTGTCTTTTTCCTTTTTATTGGTACCAGGGATCGAACCCACTACTGCCTGCTTGCAAGGCAGGCGCTTATGCTGCTGAGCTAAATCCCTAGCCCCAGCTTTTATTATTTTTTATACAAGAGAGACTGTGATATTTACAAATGTGAGTCTTATTTAGTTCACTTATGAGGAAGTCTCAGGTTGCCTCCATTTACCTATAAAGGCCTCAAGAGCATCCCTTTTTATGGCTGAGTAATATTCCATTGTATAAAAATATCACATCTTTTTGATCCACTCTGTGGTTGATGGGTAATTTGGAATTTAGCTTTTACAAATTGTGCTACTGTAAACATGGGTGCACATTTATCATTGTGATGTGATCTTTTCAAGATTTTTTGGGAAAATACCCAGAATGGGAATAGCTGGGTTGAGGGGAATTTATAATCCTAGTTTGTTGAGGAATCTTCATATTGATTTCCATAGTGGCTGCACCAGTCTACACACACCAACAGTGGAGAAGTGTTCCTTTTTCCCCACAGCCTCACCAACATTTATTATCAGTTGATTTCTTGATGGCAGCCATTTTTTCTGGAGTGAGGTGATATCTTTTTTTCTTTTCTTTTTTTTTTTATCGGTACTCGAGATCAAACTCATGACCATACGCTTGCAAGGCAGGCGCTTATGCCACTGAGCTAAATCCCCAGCCCGTGAGGTGATATATTAATGCTGTTTTTATTTGCATTTCTCGAATGATCAGTGATGGTGAACATTTCTTCATGTATTTATTTGCCATTTGTATATCTTCATCTGAGAAATGTGTGATCATCTCTGATGCCCATTTTTGAGGGTCTTTGAATTTAGGAGGCTTGATGTTTTTTAGTTCTTTATATGTTCTAGATATGTTCTTTGTCTGAGGGATTGTTTTTTTTGTTTTGTTTTTTTGGGGTTTTTTTTTTTTTCAGACTGCAAAAAGTTCTGTTCAGTGATCCAACAAAACTCAGTAATATCATTGTCTATCTTATACACTTAGATATACATGCAGTTATATCATTTAGAGCACTTTCTTTTCCTCTCTGAGGGATTGTTGACTAAAATTCTTTCCCATTCTGTAGGTTTTTTTCCTCTTTGTTTGTGATTTCTTTGAAGTGCAAAATCTTTTTAATAAGATGAGATCCCAGTTGTTGACTCTTTGAAGTGTTTCCCATGCAGTTTGTGTTTTGTTCATGAATTCTCTGCTTACCCTTATGTCTCCAAGATTTCTACCCACCTTATCTTCCAGTAGATTTAATGTTTCTGTTTTAATATTTAGATCTTTGACTCATTTTGACTTTAGTTTAGTGCATGGGTCTAGTTTCAGTCTTTGGCATGCGGAAAGCCAAGTTTTCCAACACCATTTATTAAAAAGACTATCCTTTTTCCAGTGAACATGTTTAGCCCCTTTGTCAAATATCAGGTGGCTGAGTGTCTTTGAGGTTGTATTTGCATCTTCTAATCTGTTCCAGTGATCCTCAAGTCTGTATCTTTGCCAATACCATGCTGATTTTATCACTGTGGCTTTGTAGTGTAATTTCAGATCAGGAATTGGGATGCCTCCTGCCTTGCTTTTGTTGCCCAAAATTGCCTTTGCTGTTCTAGGTTTCTTCTGTTTCCAAATGAATTTTAGGAGTGTTTTCTCTAGATCTGTAAAGTGTGTTAATGGTATTTTGACTGGGATTATATTAAGTCTGTATAACACTGATGGGAGTATGGTCATTTTCATAATGTTGGCTATTCTGACCACACCATTTTCTGATACTCTCTTCAATGTCTTTTTTTAGAGTAGTATAATTTTCAGCATATAGGTCTTTTGCATTTTTGGTTAGTTTGATTCTTAGGTATTTCATTTTTTTAGATGCTATTGTGAAAAGTGGTATTTCCATAATTTCTCTCTCAGTGAGTTTGTCGTTTGTGTTTGTATCCAGCTACACTGCTGAATTTATTACTTCTAGTAGTCTTTTAATGGAGTTTTTTGGGTCTTCTATATAAAGTATCATGTCATTTGCAAATAGTGATAATTTAACTTCTTCCTTTCCTATCTTTATTCCTTTTATTTTTCTCTCTTGTCTGATTTCTCTGGCTAATATTTCCAGAACTGT